GTCTCCGCGTCCAGGAGCGCCTTGCTTATGTAATAAATCGGCTTTTGGCGGTGCTCATTCTCACGAATAAGTACCCCACTTACTGCAAATTCGGATACAGATAAGTATAAGAAGAGCATTTTCCCCAGGATAGGGACGGATAAGGTCGGGAGAGTCCTGAGGTATTCCTTGATTCCAGCCAGGGCATCCTCGCACCCCTGGCTCTACATATCCTTCCCAGCGCTGTTGATGGCTCCGAAGAAGGGTTTGCAATTGTCTGAGGAGCGTAAGACGAATCGGTTAAGTGCTGCCAGCATCCCCGTGAGCTTTTGCACTTCTCGGACAGTTCGGGGGCTTCGAATGTCAAGGATCGCTTGAATCTGATCCGGATTAGCTTCGATTCCTCGTTGACTGACCAAGTACCTGAGAAATTACCCGACTCCACTTCAAAAACTCACTTTGCTGCGTTCAGCTTCAGCCCGTACTCCCTGAGGGTGGAGAAGGTATCTGCCAAATTTGCCAGATCTGCCAGATGATCACAGCTTCGTTTGCTCTTCACCAGCATATCGTCAATGTAGACTTCCATGGTGTTGTCGATCTATTTTTTGAACATCCGATTCATCAGTCTTTGGTATGTTGCCCCAACGTTCTTTAGTCCAAACGACATCACTTTGTAACAGTAAACTCCCCTTGGAGTGATAAACGCCATTTTTTCCTGATCTGAGGGATAGAGAGGGATCTGGTGATATCCTGCTCGGGCATCCAGGAAGTTCATGCGTTCATATTCGGCAGTGGCATCCACTAGCTGGTCCACCTTTGGTAGGGGGTAGTCGTCCTTGGGACATGCCTTATTTAGATCTGTGAAGTCTACACAGATACGTCATTTTCCCCCCTTCTTCTTCGCGCAAACCGTATTAGACAGCAATTCTGGGAACTGTATCTCTCGAATGGCGTTGGCCTTCAGGAGTTTGTCCATTTCTTCGTTGACCGCGCAGGCGTGATGCGGGGCCATGCGTCGTGGCTTCTGTTTTACTGGCTTGTGCACCGGGTCAACATGCAGCTTGTGCGTGATTATCTCGGGGTCTACTCCCGTCATTTCCATTGCATTCCAAGCGAACACGTCTGTATTTCTCCTTAGGAACTCAATCATCTCCTCCTGTTCGGCTGCGGGCATCGCGTTTCCAACTAAGAAGTATCTTTCTACTTCTTCCTCCACCAAGGGCACCTTCCGGAGGTCCTCCACCGACCGTTCCGTTGGATTAATCCGGGGGTCATCCATTCCTGGACGCCCGGACTGTAATTGCTATTTTTCCATGATCTCTTCCGGAGTTCGTCCCTTTTCTTGGGTGAAAGCCCCGGCTCTAACAGCTGAATAAAAATATTTTTTTGCGGACGCTTGGTCCCCTCGGATCTCCATGATCCCCTTTGGCGTGGCAAATTTTAATTTCTGGTGATAAGTGGAGTGCACCGCTCCCAACGCATGCAACCATGCTCGTCCCATGATCACATTGTAGGGAGAGTCCGCATCAATCACAACAAACTCGGTGTTGATGATGAAGGGACCTATGACAACTGGCAATGTGATTTTGCCTATGGGCAGGGCGAACGAGCCTTTGAAACCGATGAGGGGTGTCCTGACCTTGGTGAGGTCCTTGATGCTAAGATCCATCCGTTTTAAAGTGTCAGAGTACATCACTTCCGAGGAACTTCCGGAGTCTATCAACACCCTCTTGACGTCGAACTTACCTATCTTCAAGGTTAAGACAAGGGCGTCGTTATGAGGAGTCATCACACCTGTCAAGTCCTCGTCGGAGAACGTGATGCTGGGCTCCCCAGTCCTGGCCCTTTTACTGGGTGGCCCCCCACCATCCTCGGCTATCTTCCTTGTAAAAGCTACCCTCTTGAGATCAGACTCGAGTTCCTTGGACGTAGGGCGATCTAGCGGACATATATGGATGACACATATGACATTGTTTGGCTCTTCGGTCGGGGCAGGGGTTTGTCTCTCTACGGTCCTGGGCTCTATGTATTCTTTCAAATATCCGTCTCGGACCAATCGTTCCAAGAACGATTTGTATACCCTGCAGCTTTCGGTGCGATAGCTGAAATCCCGGTGATAGGAACACCTAACCTTTTGATCACGGGTGGAGGGGTCGCTCTACATCCTGGGCGGCCACTTGAAGAATGACTCATACTTTATCTTGTGGAGCAACTTGAAGATGGGTTCCTTGAACATAGTGTGAACTCCTTTGAACGACCCCCCGGAGGGGGTAGCAGTCCCTTTCGGGGAGTATCCTCCCGCTCCCTCTATTTTCTCTTAGATTGGAGGGTTTGGCCTTTGCTGCTTCTCATCTCGTCCACGATCTTTAAGTACTTGTTTATCCGGGCCATCAGCTCGCCCATATCCGAGAGAGTGTTCTTGGTCAGGGATCAGTACAGATCCGTGTCCCTAGCCAAGCCGAGCCTGAAAGACGCTGCTGCCATGTCTTCCGAGCAGCCCTCTACCTCATTAACCTCTTCCCAGTACCGGATGACGTATTGGTGAAGGGTCTCGGATTCCTTCCGTCTGAGCGTCAGTAATGATTCGATGTCTTTAGGCCGCTTACTCCCCGTAATGAATCGGGCTAGGAACTGTCTCGTAAGCTCCTTCCATGATCCAATGCTGTTCGAGGGAAGAGCCTCGAACCACTTCATCGCGGAGTCCCCAAGCTCATGGAAAACACTCGGCAGAGGAACCATTGGTCTGAATGATACAAGGACATCATTTGCTTGTACTGCCTGAGGTAGGCTTCAGGATCGGACCGTCCATCATAAATTTTGAACCTCGGCACGACGAATTTTTTCAGAACATCCATCTCTGTGATACCCCTAGTAAAGGGTGATTGCATGACCTCATCTTCGGCATCATCCTGGACAGTCTTGTCATTTCTCCTGGATTCCAACCGAGCCCTGAGATCAATTTTCTCCCCAATGGGGTGTTTTCTGAAGTCTCCGAGTTCGTCAATGTGTCCCCCATTTCCTGGGCGTCGCGTGGATAAGGTTGAATCCTCCTTGGACCCATCTCCCTTTCTTCGTCTTGACAGTCCTCGTCAGAGGTCGTCCAGGGCTAAAGGTCTTGCCTTCCTGGAATGGTCGTTAAGAGGACGCTCATTGGCTCTTGGTCGCTTTGGGGCCCTGGAGGTTTCTGCCTTGTTGTTTAAATGATTCCTTAGATCCTTCGTTTCCGCCTCCCGGGTGGGAAGCCCATGAGAAAGGAATGAGTCCCTCGACCCTTCGCCGGAGGCGGCTAATTCGTTGAGCCGGCTTATGACGTTCACATTGTCCTTTTCCAACTGTCATAATCGATCTCCAAACTTTTCTTCGATCACCTCCGCTAGTTGGCGAGCCAAGGGGGCGGTTCCTCCTGACCTGATGCCCATACTGGTCTGAGGAGTAGGCCCTCTTGACTGAATAGAGACATTTCTATTCCCATCAGTGTGATCCCTCCCTCCATGGTGACATGGAGCTTGTAATTCGAGGCTTCTTTGTTGGGGACCTTTCCTTTTTGTCGAGTATTCACCATGGTCACTGTTCTTTATAGAGAAGAAACTAGAAAAAAACTATTCGTTTCCCACAGACGGCGCCAGATTGTGCGTGCTAGATCTTGCACAATATAAACACAAGAACAGATCTCTCCCTTGGTGAACTTGAGTGATCCAGTCGAATGGTCAACCCTGCTGCCTGGGAAAGCCTGTGAGGTCCGATGGTAATCTAGAACGGTAACGAGAGACCCTCGTGGGTCAATGGAACGATCCAGGAAGGCTGAGGAAGGTGCCTGAAACAAAGAAAAACAAGTTAGAAGGGCGCCGGAGTGTTTTTCGGCGTATCCCCTCCGACGATCAAGTCAGTTTTTGAGAGAGAGGAAGAAGAAAACACTGAGTATAATTTGTAGCAAAGGTTTTTCATTTTTTTTCCTATCTTGCCTTTTGCGAGGAGTATTTATACCTCAAATACTCATGATTGCTGTTAGTGTGGTCAGTAGGTGATCATTAGATACAGGCAACGTGCGCACTGATTCCTACGAGGAATGTCTTCTCTTTTAATTGCTCGGGATCCCGAGCAACCGAGGCTGTGTCATCGGCATGCCGACTGTTTAATAAGCTCCTCTCGGGGAGGATGCAATAAATGTCCAGCCTTAGAGACATTTATTGTCTTTCACCTCCGAGCCTTACCTCATTGAATGCAGTCTCATCAAGGAAATAGTGTAATTAAATGCTTGCTTTCCCAAGTCGTGTGTCAGCAAGGGCATGCAGTCTTTCTGTCTCTGATGTGACACAATATGCCACGCGTCCATTCCCCATTGGTTGTGGCCTCTGCCTTCCTGTGCCTTTTGACACCAATTGTGTAAGACGAGGTCATGATAGCTAACCTAGGCTAGTGACCTGTACATCAGTAGCTCTGCAGGAGAAGAGAATGTCATCCTGGACATTGGTACATATCGGTACCGAGGGGGGATTGGTACATATAGCGACCGATGTACCTATATCAGACCGAGGGATACGTGTCGGTACGTAAACGTACTGGATGCCACTTGATCCCTATGACAAATACCTTGGGGAGAGGGACTTTGTGAACCGATGGGTACGAGATCTCAATAACAAGGATTAGTGACACCGAGGACACGTGTCTTCATCTTGGAGTCTTTTGAAAATGTCCCATAACCTAGTTCTTCATGATAAGAATGGAGGTTCATTTGGCAAAGCTTTGAGTACCCTACTGATACACTGCTGATATTTTTACAAATTTTGATACCTATGAAATTATCTGTAATTTTTAGTCAAAACATATGATTTAAGTCATTGACATATAATTTGTAGATTTTATATTTGCATTATTCTTTACTTCTCTAGCGTTAGTTTCTAACTTTCTACATGTTTTTCTACTCTTGTGACTACCATTTTGTGGTCGCTTAATTAGCCATATTAATAGGTTCAAAATTAGATCCATAAAACATTGCTTTCTATTTTTGGACACGATAACGGATGAAAACGGTATGTTTATTCATGCTTGAATTGCATTATTGTGTTGCGTAATTGGCCAACTTGATGGCTCAGCGCTTTGAAGCCCATTGATATATTAACTGGTCGATTTATATGTAGACTATTCATACTCCTTAAACTGTTCTAATAATCTGAAATAACTTTGTTCTAACAGGTCGGCCAATCTGTTCGAATGAACGGATATAATAAGCTAATTAGTCGCACTTCTGATGCCGACGGCTCTGATGGGAAGTATAGTATGGTGCTAAGGAACGATGGGTTAATCATGTATCTCAACAACTCTGGTCAGCTACTCATCTATGGTGGTTGGCCTGGTTCGAGCTTGGGAAGCTTTGTAATTTTCGATGCAGTACCTGAAAACGAAAATGCTACCGCATATGGGCTTGTGCTGGCCATCAACCAAGATGTACCACCACCAGGACACAGTCGGCGTCTTCTCCAATCACGGCCAATCCGGAATGGGGGACAATTAAACCTCAGCAAGCTCAACTATAATGCAACCTACTCGTTTTTAAGACTTGGCTCGGATGGAAACCTAAGGGCCTACACTTACTATGACAAAGTAAGCTACCTTAAATGGGAAGAGAGCTTTGCTTTTTTCTCTAACTACTTTATCAGAGAATGTGCACTTCCATCAAAGTGTGGCTCATATGGATTGTGTCAGAGGGGGATGTGTGTGGCTTGTCCAAGCCATAATGATCTTCTGGGGTGGAGCGAGAGTTGTGCGCCGCCACAGTTGCCACCGTGTAAGAGCGGTGCTACGGTGGAGTACTATAAGATTGTGGGTGTGCAGCACTTCTTGGGCCCATACTTGGATGATGGGAAAGGTCCAATGAATGTTGCAGAGTGCCAAAAGGAGTGTGATAGGGATTGTAAGTGTGTAGGGTTCTTTTACAAGGAAGATACTTCTAAGTGCTTGCTTGCACCACTACTTGGGACCCTTATTAGCGATGTGAATACTTCTGTGGGATATATCAAGTATGCAAAGTAGGAGGACATTTGCCAAAGGTTTGGTGTTGATGCGTTATGGTGGGCATCACGGGTTTGAATCACAAGAATAATCAATTCGAATTCTTCATGCGAAAACAATCTTTTTTTCATATAAAATAAAATGATGAAAAACTCTTGTGTGATGTAGCCTTTTCCATGTAATAATGGTGTGAGCACTAAGACGTGTTCTTGTTCTGTATGTGTGATTGAATTAATCATAAATAAATTGTACCAGGATTGCCAAGCATTTTATATCCAGTTTCCACCATAAAGATCAATGAAAATAAAATGCTTTGCCGAAATTATTTATTATTTGTCGTAATGTTTTGATGAAATTTAATGAAAAACTGCACATGCTGGTTAGAGGTATTTTGTTTGGATATGCTTTTAGATTTTGAACCGGTGAAACATGAATCTCGAAGATTAATAGAGAATTTGTTTTGCTAAATGAAGAATCCCGAAACAACCCAAAAGGTTAATGATGTATGGATGTTTGATAAATCAAATGAGGTTCTCTAGAGACACGTTTCAGTGTGTAGTGCTACAACTCAAATATTATAGAACCCAAGCGTGGGTAGTCGTGAAGTAATAATAGACAAAGAAAGTCTAAGATGAAATCACAGAAAATTGAGAAAATTTGAAACGCAAGAAAATTAAAGAAAAATTACTTTGAAGGTTGTTTGAGAAAGTTGTTGTCCAAGAGACTAGAAATTGGTTGAGTAAAAATAGTAATTTGGAATACTAAAGTATCGAGGATACCCTTTCAATTCCATACGACAAGTAATAATGATCCAGTTTTCAAATTCAATTGAAAACTAACTGAGAAATAATCTCAATTGAAATATTTAACGATGGTAATATGTAAACGTCAACAGTTATAACCAATAAATTATCCGAATAAATCTAAGATTTCACATGCAAATTACAAGCATTCACTGTTCCCGGAATTTTCGATAAATCAAGTTCTTTAATAGAGAAACCCTAAATTTATCGTAAATAATAAATAAAGTATCTTATAAAAATTCTAATTAATTAATTCACGTATAGAATAACCAATTATTTCACTCGCAGAGAATTTTAAACATTCGATGTACGTAGTACAACGAATTAAGAAATTATACAAAGCATAAATTTTACTAGAAGACAATAATTGAATTAAAAGAATAAATTAAGCATTAAAAATATTGGATAAAAAATAATATCATAATTTATTGAAATTATCGCCCCCAACTTTATTTGGACTTTTAGTATGGAATAAGAAAAATACACTAAAAACTAAAAAAGAAGAAGACTCAGAAGAGATGATTCATACGAAAACCTATGCCTTCTTTTATAAGCTTTTTGGAAGCACGTACCTAATTTCCACAGATTTCTAATACTGCTAGTCGAAACGCGCCATTACGTCCGAACGCATATTTCTTACCGACCAGACACGTCTTGCTTTCTGGAAGTACCTTGATCACCGTCTACACGCATGTCTTCATCCATTTAAGAGCAGCTACTGGAATTCACGTCCAGACGCACCTTGATTACTGTTTGGACGCCCTCGACAGAATGCTCCTTTTTTCCTTTCTTGTACTTTAGATCTCCTCCTCTTTTCGCACTTTGTCCTTTTAGTCCCTAATTCCACCGTTTAGTCTGCGAAATTGGACAAACACTACAGAAATGAGATGATATCCAAACTTATCCAATTAATCACTTTTAATGTCATGTCCAACGTAATTAGCGAACAATTAATACAGAAATAAGGCAATATTCATGGCTAATCACGTAGTATTACCCTATAAACTTTGAACACGTGTATCCACCATAGACAAAAACATGGCAGGGCAGGGTAGAGGCGACGAGTTAACATGGTGGGTTAGGTCCACCCTCAAATGGCAACGATTGCAAAATACAACCAATAACCGCAGAAGATCGCCAACATTGTGAAGTGTCTACGTCGTCCCCTTCACCATGGAAATACAAATGGGAGTCGTCCAAAAAGAAAAAAGTGGCATTGCGAGCTTTTGAGGGCAATTTTGGCATGACCTAACTAATCCCCCTTCTCGGCCGCAGAAGTAAATGTAAACATCTGGGTCAAGCTAATAGCAAAAAACATATCTCTAGCAAAGGTTCAAGGGATACCTTCAAAGAAAGACACTTAGGGAACGTCAAAAACTCATTGGATATCCATAGAGGCATGATCGACTAGCACAAGGGGTCAAGAGGAGAGGTCCCCAGTTTGAGATAAGGAAGTATGACCCTCATCAATGGAGAACTAAGTAACAAGAGTGGACAAGCATGATTATCAATCTCCACCTCGAGCTCGGGCATGATTTTGAAAGTTTAATCTCTTCGAGGAAGTCTCCTAATGTATGACTCACTATCCACTAAGTTGTGCTTGAGAGGGATCAATTGAAACTCTCTCTCCCTCTCTATCTCTCTCAATTTTTTTCTCTCTCTCTCTATCTAACCTTAGCCACCAACACCGACCACCCAAACGATCATACTCCCTCCGTCATCGTCGATCCCTTCTCTAGAAAACTCTTTCTTTCCCCTCTACCTTCCCCAGTCAATCTCTGCCCCAACCACCACGACGCACCCACCAACACACCTTACCCTTGGTTGAGCGGGTCAACTCGAATTCAACCCGAGTCCAACCCAAAAAATATAGGACTTGAATTAGAATTTTTAATACTTGAGTTATGTCTGGGCAAAAAAACCTAAACCCAAATTGAATTTGGGCAAGCCTCGGGTTGTAGGGTTCAACCCGAATATACATAACTAAATAAATAAATTTAACTAGAGTTAGTATTTATTTTTACTCTTTAGAATCCAAATTTTTATTTCACTTCAAGTTTTCACCTCTGCGCCATTACTCCTTGATCCCTCTTTCACTCGTCATTCCTCCCTCTTTCTTCATCTGTGTATCACCCTTCATCTCAGATCACTTGAAAAAATCAAATCTACACATGAAAAAATTAAATCTACAATTAAAAAAATCAACCCGAATTAAGTAACTCAAGATCAACCTGATTTTTAACTCAAAATTAACTCGAATTAAATAACTCAAACCCGCCCGAATTAAACTCGGACAGTACTCAGGTTGAGTACTTCGAGTTAAGGTAGGGTTAGAGTTAAAAATTATATACCTAGGATTGAACTGAGGTTGACCTCTCAACCCGCTCGAGTTGCACTCTACCCTACCCCTCCCTCTCTTCTCCCTCATTCTACCCCAAACCAAAATTCTGCAATGCATTAATCCTAGAACACGCAACACATTAACCTAGAATGCACACACGAGCACACACACAAAGTTAGGCACACCACCCAATCATACACATGAATCAATGATAATATTTGGAAGATCATTTATTGAATAAATTTAATGGGTTATTAATGAATAATTTATATTTTTTAATTACAAAAATGACAATTAGATCCATTTTTTTTATAATTGTGATAATTGATCATTTTTTATAGTATATAATATACATTATTTTTTGATATTTTTTATGTTAAATGGACTTCATATATATATATATATATATATATATATATATATATATATATATATATATATATATATATATATATATATAATAAAGTAGCTTACAATTCAAATTTTAAAAGATAAACAAAATGATTTTTGTTATTCGAGATTGAGATTGTTTTAAATTTTACTTTAAAATTAATTTAACGATTAATATTAACACCATAAATTTAATAGCAAAAATAGGGCCTTAAGGGTGTGTTTAGACTTTGGAGCGACTTTTTAAAATTACTTTTAAAATTTATTTATCATAAATACTTTAAAAAAAAATAATGTTTGAAACTGTCTCACCACTACTTCTACCTCTACCACCCCCACCACTGTCACTGCCACCGCCAACAACACCACCACTGTCGCCGCCGTTACCACCATCGTCACTGCAGCCACCATGACCACCACCATCGTCTTCGCCGTCACCATCACCGCCCCCCGCCACCACCACTACTGTTGCCGCCGCCACCACCGCCTTCGCCACCACTGCCGCCGTCACCACCACCATCACCATAGCCTCCACCACCGCCACCACTGCTGTCACCGTCGTCGCCGTCATCACCATCGCCGCCGCCTCGCCATTGCCGCCACTACCACCATCGTTACCGTCGCCGCCGCCACCACCACCACTATCGTTGCTGCTGCCCTCGCCCTCACCATGGTTATTTCTACCCATCACAACCATCATCATCTCCTACCACCACTACTATTGCCCACCACCTCTCACTCTCACTACAAATCGATACTTAAATTCATTTATTTTTTTTCTATAGTTGTGATTTGATTTTAGACATGAATACAAATATGTTTATTGTTTATTAATTTTTTTTTTAATTTGTGCTTTCAGGCACAAGCAATAATTAGTCTATAATAAAGTAACTTACAATTCAAATTTTAAAAGATAAACAAAATGACTTTTGCTATTCGCGGTTGAGATTGTTTTAAATTTCACTTTAAAATTAATCTAACGGCTAATATTAACACCTAAATTTAATAGAAAAAATAGTACCTTAAATGTATGTTTGGAGTGATTTTTTAAAAATACTTTTAGAAATTATTTATCATAAATACTTTTAAAAAAAAAGTGTTTGAAACCGCCTCACCACCGCTGCCGCCAACACCACCACCACCCCCGCCCCTGCCCCCATCCCCACCACCACGACCATTGTCACCCACCACAACCATCACCGTCTCCTACCACCACCATTGCCGCTCATCACCTCTCACCCCCACTACAAACCGATACTTAAATTTTTTTATCTTTTCTCTATATTTGTAATTTAATTTTGGATAAGAATACAAATATGTTTATTGTTTACCATTTTTTATTATTCTGTGCTTTCAGGCACAGTCATTAAATTGAATATATATATATATATATATATATATATATATATATATAATAAAGTAGTTAGATTGTTTGTTTTGAGCTTTTCGGGGTACAGATCATTTTGATCAGATGGTCCTAATTAGAC